TCCTCCTCTCTTACTTTCCCTTTTTACTAACTCCTCCCTGTCGCACCCCGAGGCCAGTCGGAAGGGCGGGCCGGGCGTTTCGCCTGAAACCTTCTTATCATGTATGATTCTGAAGCTTAAGGGTTGACAGCAATTTCAAAGATGGAGGGCGGGCCGTTTCCACCATGTGGCTCTCGCTTTAGCGCCGCGCACATTCGGCTTAAACATTTGCCAGAAGTTCGCGGATTCGAGGCGGGCGGTTTTCAAAGTTTGGTTCTCGCCTGGGCGCCGCGCTCATTCGTCTTAGAGAACTGCTTGAAGGCTGTTCCTTTTCAAAACGTGGCTCTCTCCTTGGCGCCGCACACATCCATTTTAACCATTGCAAGGGCTTCGCGGATTGAGGGCGCGTCGTTTTCAACATGTGGTTCTCGCTTTAGCGTTGCGCAAATGTGTTTCAACAACTTGGAAGCGTGTCACGGATTGACGGCGGTTCCTGTTCAACATTTGGTTATCGCCACAGCGCCGCGCACATCCGTTCTAAAGAATTGCCAAAGGTTCACGGATTCCCATGGCTAACGTAGCAGAAATGTTGTTCTGAAACGGTTCAGGATTGCCAGGGCGCAACTGTTATGTTGATTCGCAGTGTTGAAGTCCTGGGAAAGCGTTCTGGCACGATTCGGGATCGTGAAGACTCAACCTTCAAGATGGTTCGTGGCGTTGAACTTCCGAGAATGGTGTCTTGGCACGCTTCAGGATCTTCAAGCGGTTGTCTCCCAACAGGGCACTTCCCTGAGTGAGTGGAAATGAGCCCTTGCAGGGGCATGTGAAGAGGGAGCTTGGAGGGAGGGTTAATCCCAACATCGTTGGTGGGTCTTGGGTTTACACTGGGCCTCCTCGTCGTCGTCGTCCTCCTCCTCCTCTTCCTCCTCCTCCTCCTCATCCTCTCCCCCGTTCCTCCTCTTCTCTCCCATTCCTCATCCTCCTCGTCCTCCCCCTTTCTCGCCCTCCCCCCCCTGGAGGCTGGCGAGACTGGACGAAGGGCCAGGGCACCGAGGCTTCGCTGAAGGTGAGGGCTTCGCTGCCCTCGGCGCCGAACGCCTTCGGCCACGCGTGGAGCCCGGACGGTTCCTTCATCGGCTCCGTGACCGACGCTGGGGTGGCCGTCTACGACGCGAGGATTGGCCACATGGAGGAGGGGGGGGAGGAGGGGGAGGAGGGGGAGGAGGGGGAGGAGGGGCGATGAGGGGGAGGAGGAGGAGCGGAGGAGGAGGAGGAAGAGGAGGAGGATGGAGGAGAGGAGGAGGAGGAGGTAGGAGGAGGAGGAGGAGGAGGCAGGAGAGGAGGAGGAGGAGGAGGAAGAGGAGGAGGAGGAGGAGGAGGAGGGGAGGAGGAGGAGGGAGAGGAGGAGGAGGAGGAGGAGGAGGAAGGAGGAGGGAGGAGGAGGAGGAGGAGGAGGAGGAGCAGGAGTCAGGAAGTCCCCAGGGTGGAAGTCCAGAAGGAGGAGGAGGAGGAGGAGGAGGAGGAGGAGGAGGAGGAGGAGGAGGAGGGGGAGGAGGGGGAGGAGGAGGAGGAGGAGAGGAGGAGGAGGAGGAGGAGGCGGCGGGAGGAGGCGCGAGGAGAGGAGGAGGTAGGAGGAGGAGGAGGAAGAGGTCAAGGAGAAGGAGTCAGGAGTCAGGAGTCTCAGGGCGAAGTCCAGAAGGCGGTCTCAAGGAGGAGAGGAGGAGGAGGAGGAGGCAGGAGGAGGAGGGGGAGGAGGGGGAGGAGGGGGAGGAGGAGATGAGGAGGAGGAGAGGAGGAGGAGGAGGAGGAGAGGATGGAGGAGTCGGGAGAAGGAGTCAGGAATAGGAGTCCCAGGGCGAAGTCCAGAAGGAGGAGGAAGGAGGAGGAGGAGGAGGAGGAGGGGAAGGAGGGGGCGGAGGGGGAGGAGGAGGAGGAGGAGGAGGAGGAGGAGGAGGAGGAGGAGGAGGAGGGGGGGAGGAGAAGGGAGGGGGAGGAGGGGGAGGAGAGGAGGAGAGAGGAGGAGGGGAGAGGAGGAGGAGGAGGGAGGAGGAGGAGGAGGAGGAGGAGGAGGAGGAGGGGGCTTCTTTGGTGCCTATTGGGCCGACTTGGGACCATCTTGGGCTTCTTGGAGCGCTCTTGGGCTGGCTTGGAGGCCTCTTGGACACTATTGGGCGCTTTCTGGGGCCCGTTTGGCCCGTCTTGGGACTTTTTGACCTCTGGAAAAGTTATGCGGGACAGCCCAAACACGCGCGGGAACGCCCCGGAAATTTGGGCCCAGCCCCTAGAAAGCTAGAACCCCAGAGTCCTGAGTACAGAGAACAGAGGACACATGAGGACCTGGAAAAAACTCCACTTCGCGCCTCGCACCACGGTGACGCATAATGAGGTGGAGAAGGCGGAGGGGGAGGGGGAGGGGGAGCAGCAGGAGGAGGAGGAGGAGGGCGGAAAATGAGGAGGAGGAGGAGGAGGAGGAGGAGGAGGAGGAGGAGGGGAGGGGGAGGGGGAGGGGGAGGGGGAGGAGGGTGGTGGGGACGAGCTGGCGTAAGCGGCGAGGAATGATTACAAGCAAGTCCTCGAGATGGAGAGGGTTGCTCCAGACGTCGGCGGGCGCATGGGCGGCGCGCGGAATCTCTACTTCTCCCCGCAGAACTCGTTCCTGGTCTCCTACGAGAAGTGGGACCCACAGTACCCCGACAACGTCCACGTGTGGGACCTGCGGGAGGAGCCCGTTCGTCTGGCCCGTGAGTCTGGCCTCCCTCGTCGTCGTCATGTTCTCCCTCACCCTCCCTCCTCCTTCCGCCACGGTTTCTCCTTCTCGTTTCTTCTCCTCCTCCTCGGGTCAAATGCCCGCCCACGCAAAGGGAGCCATGATCCAGAGCCCTCACCGGAAAAATATTGCGCGCAGGGACTAACAACAAGGGGGCTTGGGCCTGGAGGGTGCACTGCCGCACAGTTGATGCATCTTGGGTTTATTATGGTTCTTCCCCCTGCTGCTCCCCCGCCTCCTCCTCCTCCTCCATACATCCTCCTCCTCGTCATCCTCCTCTCCTCCTCCTATCCTCGTCCTCCCCTCATCCTTCCTAGGGATTGACTGGCATTGCAACGCTGTTGCCTCCTGCTCCTCCTCCTCTCCTTGCCTATCTCTTCCCCCTCCTCCTCCTGCTGCCTCCTCCTCCTCCTCCTACTCCTCCTCCTCCTCCTCCTCCTCCTCCTCCTCCCCATCCCCCTCCTCCTCCCCCTTCCCCTCCTCGGCCCCTGCTGGAGGAGCAGGCCGGCAAGCGGCTGCACTCCTGCTCCCTCAAGCACTACACCAGCGGGGCTCTGCCGATGCAGGCTTCGAGCGCCCCCTGTGGGGGAGGGGGAGGAGGAGAGGAGGAGAGAGAGGAGGAGGAGGAGGAGGAGGAGGAGGAGGAGGAGGAGGAGGAGGAAGAAGAGGAAGAGGAGGAGGAGGAGGAGGAGGAGGAGCAGGAGGAAGACGAGAAGGAGGAGGAGTTTGAGGAGGAGGAGGAGGAGGAGGAGAATGAGGAGGAGTACGATGATCGCCGTTCTTTCCAAGCCCATTTGCTCCCTTCTCTCGGCCTTCCGTCTTCTCCGCGTGTGGGCCAAGGATCAGGAGCAGCACGCAGGTGAGCTGAGAGCGATGAGGTTTGCTATGGTATACCCCGCAGCCGACAAGCTAGGATGACCCTGTACTTCATGCGCACTCTGCTCAGCCCGCTGTTCGGGCGAGTACGTTCATCAAAGTGCTCCACGGGGACTGGGGGTCCAAGCATGCGCGATACATGTTCCTTAGAAGTGGCGTGGGATCAGGGTTATCTGACTCCGGTGGGGCTGGCAAATGTCGTCTTCGAGAAAGTTCGATGTCGAGAAGGGCCGGCGGATTCTTGTTCCAGGATGACGTACGACGTATGCGAAGCGTTGTTTGTGTAACAAACAAGCGCCCTGTGAGTCACGGAGTGTGAGCCCACGTTTCGGTAGAACAAATGGATTCCGCCTACTCAAGGAAAGTATGCCCCCCATATCGGGCCATCGATGCGTGACGGGGTCCACTGAATCCTTGTTCCTTAGTCAAATTGTGGGTGCGGAGCGCTTCGCTTTTGAATCCTAAGCGAATAACGCGGTCTGGGGGCACCTGGACGTCCCAGGATGCCCCGGGAGGCTCAGGGAGCGCGGATGCAGCGCACATAACAAGGGGTCGTGGCCTTGGGAGCGCGGACGCAGCATAATTTACAAGGGATCGTGACCCTGGGAACGCAGACGCAGCGTAATTTCCCCACTGGGGCCTGTCTAAGGGGTTCTTACTTGGTTAAAGACTGGTGTCTCGGGACCCTACTCTGCCTGTTCCCTGGAGATTCCCCAGATTCCCCAGGTTCCTCAGGTTCCTCGGGTTCCCCGCGGAATGTCATTGTGCCCGTTGCCCGGAGGTTCCTCGGGTGCCTCGGGTTCCCAGGGTTCCTCGGGTGCCTCGGGTTTCCTGGATTCTTCGGGTTCCTCGGGTTCCCCTGGTTCCTTTGGTTCTCCGGTTTCCTCGGGTGCCTCGAGTTCTCCGGGCTCCTCGGGTTCTGCAACGTTAGGCAATCCCAAGCGATGCCAAGCAATGCCAAGCACTGCCAAGCAATGCCACGCAGTGCCACGCAGTGCCAAGCAATGCCAACCCATGCCAAGCGATGCGCCCAGCGATGCTCCCATGCAACAGGCTTTCCCCTACTCGGGGCCGCGCCGGGTTCACTTCAAGAGACTGTGGCCCTGGGAGCGCGGACGAAGCGTAATTTCTCGAGACATCGTGGTCCTGGGAGCCCAGACGCCGACGCAGCGTAATTTACAAGAGAACCTGGCCATGGGAGCGCGGCCGCAGCGTTATTTACGAGGAGCCTTGGCTTTGCGAGCGCGGGCCGCTTGTAATTTGCGATGGGCCCTGGCTTTGGCAGCGCGGGCGCAACGTGCGTGTCCCCTTGCGCTTCCCTTGGCACGTCTCCTTGCGCGTCCACTGCAACGTCGTGTGGCACGTCCATTGGCGCGTCCCGTGGCACGTTCCCTGGCCCGTCCTCTGGCGCGTTCCCTGGCTCGTCCTCTGGCGCTTCCCCTGCCCGTTCTGTGGCGAGCCCCTTGGCCGCGTCCCTTGGCGCGTCCCTTGGAACCCCGCCTGGCACGACGTCCCCTGGCGCGCCCCCTGGCACGCCCCTTGGCACGCCCGTGGCAGGTCCCTGACATGTCCATGGCACGTCCCCTGAACACGCCCCCTGGCAAGTCCCCTGGCACATGCTGCAGCGCGTCCCGGGCACATCCCGCGGCGCGTCCGTGCGCCCTGCGCCCCCTGTCGGTTCGGCCCGTTTCGGATCTCGGGGATTGTGGAACGGCCTGCGCGTCTCGACCACAACCAGCTCTGGACGAGAGCTACGCGCTCAGGCAGCTCGCACGGAAGATCCAGATCAGTTCGGTCAAGACACAGACCGCCAAGGACGACTGGATGCACAGCGCATTTTAGAGTACACCGCAGTCCAATCCATTATGAAACAAGACAGATATCACGGCACAGCGCGTCACACCACGGCACAGCCTCCGGCACGGTACCATCTCCATGGATATCCTTAGCATCTTCATGGGGTAGTTACGAACAGTGCTTGCACAGAGGGCTTCTCACTTCTTGTCTAAAGAACTTGGCCTGTACGTCGGTCTGGCGGCTCCGTGCCGGCCGTCGCCGCCCCGTCGCCGCCTCATCGCCGCCTGTCTCCGTTGCTTCGCCGTCGCCGTCGCGTTGCTTTACTTTGCGTTGCATTGTTTCGCGTTGCTCTTCTTTGCCCTGCATTGCAAAGCATTGCCTGGCCTTGCTTTGCATTGCTTTGCGTTGCATTGCTAAACGTAGCGTTACTTTGCCTTGCTGTGCCGTGCTTTGCCTTGCTTCGCATTGCTACGCCGTGCTCAGAGTTATCCTGCGTTGCGATTGCATTGCTTTTCATTGTTCTTCGTTGCTTTGCATTGCTTTGCATTGTAAATCGAAGCATTGCACTGCCTGGCCTGCTTTCATTGCTTTGCGTTGCATTGTTTGCATTGCTTTGCTTCGCATTGCTACGCAATTCTTGGCGTTGCTCTGCATTGCTCTGCATTGATATGGATTGGTCTGCATTGCTCTGCATTGCTCTGCATTGCTCTGCATTGCTATGTCTGTCTGTGTGTATGTATGTATGCATGCACGCATGCATACATCCATGCATGCATGCATGTATGTGTGTATGTATGTTTGCATGTCTGCCTGTCTGCCTGTCTTTCTGTATTTAGGTCTGTCTGTATGTATGTGTGTTTGCATGCATGCTTGCATGCATGTATGTCTGTCTGTCTGCCAGTCTGCCTGTCTGCCTGTCTCTATGTATGTATGGATGGATGGGTGGAGGTGTATATATATATATATATATATATACATATTTACATCTATAGATATATCTGTGTATATATATATATACAACTATTCAATTTTATATATTTGTATTGATCTGGACCCTGCGGAAATCCTGCTCCACCCCCCGAAACGGGACCACAAGGATCCGGGGCTCCTGGACGCTTCCTGAGAGGGTCCTGCGAGATTTCTGGGACTCTACGCCCTGGAAGTTCTTGCCACTCCGTGCAAACGTGTCGGCGGCGGTCCCAAGATACTCCCAAGACGGTCCAAGATGGCCTCCAGCGGCCCTGGACCCTTGTCCGACGCCCGAAGCCGGCCCAAGTATCACGCCCAAGATGTTTTCGATAGCCTGCATTGCCGTCATGCGCACAATCGTCTAGGCGTTCATGCTGCTCTCCGATGTCACTCCCTTCAGTTGCCGCGAGCTCTCACTGGCAAGCCCTGCTCATCCTCGTGTCGCGCCTTCCCCTCCACCCCTCCCCGCCACGCATTTACACATTTGCACGTGCAGCTAGATCGCGATAGATCGCGGTACATTCCTCGCGCGTTTCACCGAACGAATCTGGCGTCCTTGGTGCTCGTTTCAGCTGGCTCCAGTTTGCATCGGAGCTCGTGCAGACTACAGTCAGCCCGGATTAGTAGGTCGACCCTGGCAAATCAAGGGTACCCTTGTGTCCTGTGTCTCGCGACCCATGCTTCCTACATTCCTGTGGCCATGTGGCCCTCGGAAGGGTCTTGTGTCCTCTCGCGTGTCCTGTCCAATCGAGTCCGACTGTAGGCCCAGTTCCCCCAGTCTCTCCACCATCCTCCTTGTTTCTCCTTCTCTACCTCCCCTCGGCCAGGCATCCAGCAGCCACCAGGCTACCGAACTCTCGCTTTGCGGAGCCCAAGAGGTGGTCAAGTGGACCTCCGACGAGGCCCTGTGCCTGCTGTACGTGCCAGGCCAGGGCGTGCTCATGCGGAAGGGGGACCTCTCCGACGACGGCGAGAACGTGAAGACCATTCCCGAGGAGAGCACCTGCGACCGTCCTGCTACCATGATGTGGGCACCGCTGCTGTCTCTGGTCTTGCTCCTGCTGATCTGCTGCGGCTGACCCTGCTTGCTGCTGCTGGTGCTGCTCACCCACCCGTCGACCTCCCGACCTGCTGACAACTGTATGCATGCAGTCAGTAGGATGTTATTAGCTGCCGAGTCCTTCCGACGATACAGTGGTCATGTTTCCTCACGTTCCTGCTAGAGAGCTGTGCGAATGCAATTCTGAACCAGCGACTGGCTCACACTGCATACTCCAGCGCAGCTACTGCCCACTCCTGTTTGCTGCTGCAGACGAAGACGATAGTATCTAAATTTCTCTATTGCTTGTTTGTTGGCACAACGGGCGCGAACATGATTATGGACCGTACTGGCATGAATGTCACTTAATCGCGTCGCTCATTCCGCTGGCCCGTATTGTGCCATCGTTGGCGCTTGCGTGCGCGTCCGTGGACCATGTGGCGCTGCTGGGCGGCGCTGCTGCGGTTGTGGGTAAGAGTCCTCGTTGGTGCTTCTTCGTGTCTCTTCGGAGGGTTCTCGGGGGGTTCCTGTGCAGCAGTTTTAGGGGCCCTTGAGGGCCTCCGCTTGGGACAGCCTGGATGCCTCTTGGGGCCGAGGGCTCGAAATGCCCATTCGGCTTCCTCCTTCTGGGCTCCCTCTCGGGGCTCTCTCTGTCCGTCTTGGAGGCCTCTGGGGCCGTCTTGGGCCCCTCTGGAGCCGTGATGGAGTTCTCTTGGAGGCCTCTCAGGCCGTCTTAGAGTGATCTTAAGTGGTTTCTTGGGCCGCCTTAGCGTCGGCGGCCGAAAAGGCGAGAACTCTGAAAAACTTCAAGCACCAATGAAAAATCGTTGAATTTTGCCTCTGGGGGGCTTCTTGGGAGTGTATTGGAGGCATCTTCGGGCGTCCTGGAGGCGGTTGAAGCCGTCTGGAGAATATCTTGGGCATCTTTGAACGACTTCCGGTGCTTCTGGGCCCTCTTAGACCGCCTTGGGAGCCTCTTGAGACGCTCTTGGAGGCCCTGAAGGCAGCCCCCACGAGTTCCGGCATCCGTGACGGGGACCGCCCGGGGACCGCCCGGCATCCTTGACGGGTTGATCATGGACCGTATTGGCATGAATGTTATGTATGTGGGTTGTTCGAACACTTCGCAGACAGCGGCTACTAATGTGTTTTGACGCGGTGTTGATATACTGTTTCCGCTTGTCTGCAGGTCGAGCCACGGCCGAAACGCCGTCATCTTTGATTTGCACGACCACATTGGGAGCACACGAACGAATTTTCCACGTGAGGTCCAAGTGTGGCGTAAACGAAGCACTCTTCTGGCCGCTGCCAGTACTTTCTCATCCATGCTCAGTGCTGGTGTGATCAGTGCTGCGGGCATTTGTACATACTATTGTAGTGCAGCTCCTAATGATTTGATTTCTACGCCTATTGCTACCGGCGCGGCTGGTATGGCCGCCACTTAATGCCACTCACCACAGCGTACCACGTAATTCTTCCAACCGGCGACCTTCTACATCTCATATGCTGTTTGGTTTCTGGCATCTGCCGGGTATTCGAAAACTGGACAGCCACTGCCAAATATTATCCGCTACCAGCATCGCCCCCTGCCTTTCGGGAGCGCCTGTGTCGCCAAACGTCGAACCTACGGCCACGCAATTAGACTGCGTGTTCCCCCAGCCGTTGAGAAAGCCACCGGGGAACCCTAGGGAGGGGCCTTTGGGGGCCCTCTTGGGGCTGTCTTGGAACTCGTTTCGGGCTCCTTGGGCCTTCTTTGGCCCTCCTTGGTCATATTCAGGCTCTTTGGGGCCGTCTTGGAGCGCTATTGGGCCGTCTGGCGCGTTCGGAAGCCGTCCTGGGGACCTCCGCCCTCCCTTGGGGCCCTTTCGGACCGTCTTGGACGCTTCTTGGGGCCCTGTTGGGCCGTTTTGGGTTCCTCTTGTGGCCCATTTGGGCCGCCTCGTGTGCTCTCGAGACGAAAAATGCGAGAATCATAGCATTCTTTGAACAGCTAGCGGGTTTCGGGTTTCCAGCGCTTTTGGCCTCAGGGGGTCAGCCTCAAGGGCTCCCAAGACGCCCCAAGAGACCCCCAAGAGAACCCCTAGGACCATCCTGGGCCATCATGGCCGTCTGGGAAGCGTTTGGGGGGCCATCTTGGACCAGCTTGCGGCGCCTTGGCCGCCCTCTTGGGCCACCCTGGCCACCACGGTCGCCCGTCGTCCAGGCTCTGCGCGCTGGCCGTGGGGTTGGCGGCAGAGGGCGCAGGGCTCGTGGGAACACCTGGAACGCGCTCCAGAGCTTTCGAAGGTGCAAAGAGCGGGCGGCGGACGGAGGAGCCCGGCGGCGCATCACCGGGCGCCTCTCGGGAGCTCGTCGAAGCGGCGCGCAGCATCGGTGGTCGTGACGCGGCGCGCATGCGAGCTGTCCTTTCTGCGAGGTGCCTGGATGCTTCTTGGAAATGTCTGGTGGCTTTCGGCCAACCCCGCCCCCGTGCCTGGGACGTGACCGAGAGGCCTCCTTCGAGAGCCTTCTTGGGGTCTCCTGGGAGGCCTCCAGGAGGCCTCTTGGATACAACTTTTGGGGGTCCCTTGGGGGAGGCTTGAGGCCTCTTGGGCAGTTTTGGAGCGTGGGAAGCTCGAAAAGGCGAGACCGCCGAAACCTTTCAAACATTGTATGACGCTTTCGGGTTTGGGCTTGCTGGGGCCCTCGTGACAGTCGACCTGGAGCCCCCTTGGGGCGTCTCGGGGTCTCTGAGGCCGCCCTGAGGCCATCGTGGGCCGTCTTGTAGCGATCTTGGGCCATGTCGGGGCTCTCTTGGACCGTCTTGGGGCCCTGTTGGGCGCTCTGGGTGTCCTTTGGATCGCTTTGGGGGCCATCTTGGGCCGTCCTGGGGTCCTGCACCGCAGGGGGGGTCCGCGAGGGGCCGCTGACAGAGGAAGGCCCAGTGGAGTGGACTTCAGGGAGTTGTTGACCAGGCACTGGCTTAAGTCGGGCCTGTCCCTCTACAGGAGGAATGTCCAAAAATAGTCAACAAATAGTCGGGGGACGATTTGTTGAGAATTGTTTGACCATTTGTTTTTTTGGGGGGGTATGTTTGGTTTGATTTTTCGCCCTAAATCGGCCTGTAGGGGGACAGGCCCGACGTAAGCATTCGCAAATCCTGCCAAATGTTTTGACAAAGTAGCCTCGTACGGCCTGCACCGCAGGCGGGAGCGGCCAGATCTGAAGGGCTGCGCCCTTTGCCACCAGCCCGACAGGTTGGGCCATCGTGTGTCCGGATTGGGCCATCTTAGGGCCTCTTGGGGGCATCCTGGGGCCTTGGAGCCGTCTTGGGCAATCTCAGGGGCTATGGAGATTATCTTGCAATTATGCTCGGCGGTGGTAGGGACAGAACAAAGGACGGGCAGCACACATACAGACATACATGCATGCATGCATACATACATGCATGCATGCATACATACATGCATACACACATACATGCGTACACACATACAGACATACATACATGCATGCATACATGAATGCATGCATGCATGCATGCATGCATGCATACACACATACACACATACACACATACATGCATACACACATACACATTCATACACGCGCATGCACATATACACACAAACATTTACATACATACATGCATGCATGCATGCATACATACATGCATACATACATACACGCATACATGCATACATACATACATGCATGCATACATACATACATACGTACGCACATACATACATACATACATACATACATACATGCATACATACACACAGACATACATACATACCTACCATCCATCCATACAGACATGCATGCATACATACATACATATATACATACATACATACACACATACATACATACATACACACATGCATACATACATACATACATACATGCATGCACGTATGCATGCATACATATATACATACATACATACATACATACATACATACATACATACATACATACATACATACACATACACATACACATACATTCATACAGACAGACAGACAGACAGACAGACAGACACACAAACATGCACACACATACATACGTACGTACGTTCATACAAACATGGACACACACATAATTACATACATGCATGCATGCATGCATGCATACATGCGTACATACATGTATATGTATATGCACGCATGTATGCATACATGCATACATACATACACACACGCGCACACAAACACACACACACATATATATATATATATATATATATATATACACGTATACGCATACATATATACTGATATATCACAGTACAGTGACTGCCCCATGTCTGGGGGTGTCCGCGGGCCATGCCTCGGAGGCATATTGGGGCTGTCGTCGGCCGTCATGGTCTCTCAAGACCTTTTTCAGCGCTTCTTGGGGCCGCCCTGAGCCCTGAGTAACTCGGGCTGTCTTGGCCGTTTGGTGGCGCCCCTGTGGGAATCCTCAGGCAGGGCAGCCTAGAGCGGGAGGGAGATGAGGCACACACGCACACACACACACCGGCCTGTCGTATGTGCGTGTCCGTAGCCTTTGGTTCAAGAGCCACCTCGGGCGCGCGCCCGCCTCAGCGCGTCCGATCCGCCCGCGCGAGCATCCTCGCGGCGGGCGCCGATGCTCGCCTGCGGAAGGGCGGTGGCCAGCCGCGACGTGGGGGCCGCCAGCGAGGGCTACCTCACGCTCGGTGCCGGCGACGAGGTGCTCGTGAGGTACGTCGGCCGCGAGCCGGGCGAGGAGGGCTGGTGCTTCGCCCAGGCCGCCTCGGGGGCGCAGGGCTGGGCGCGCAGCTGCGACCTGTGCCCCGCCGCCGCGGCAGCGCCCGCGGCGGCGGCGCCGCCGCGCCTCGCCGCGGGCCAGCGCGCCGTGGCGCTGGAGGCCGCCGGGGGCGGGGCAGAGGGCTACCTGCAGTGCGAGGCGGGGGCCCCGCTGCTGGTGCTGCACGCGGGCGCCGGCGGCGACGAGGAGGGCTGGGCCTACGCCCGGGAGCTCGCGTCCGGGCGCCAGGGGTGGCTCCGGAGCGCCGCGCTGGGCGTGCTGCCGGCGGCCGCAGGCGGCGGCGGCCCCGCCGGCAGCGGCGAGGGCCAGGCGCCGCCTGGCGGCCCGGGCGCCGCCGCGACGGCGGGCGGCGGCGGCGCGGCGGCCGCCGCGCCGCAGCTGGGCCGCGCCGTGGCCGCGAGGGACGTCGTGGCGGCGGCCGCGGGCTACCTGCCGCTGGCGGCGGGGGATGCCGTGGTGGTCGAGCATGTGGGCTCGGCGGCGGGGTGCGACGGCGGCTGGCTCTACGGGCGCCTCGAGCGGGGCGGCTCCCCGGGGTGGTTCCCCGCCGCGGCGCTCGCGGGGGGCCAGGCGCCGCAGGCGCCGCCCGCGGGGGGGCGGCCCGGCACGGGCGAGAGCAGCGACGAGGGCACCGACGGCGAGCGCTCCTGGGACTCCTGCGGCAGCCAGCTGGAGAAGGAGATGCTGGTGGACTGGACGGGGAAGCGCGGCGGCGCAGCCAAGAAGGGCGTCGTGGTGGCGCCGCGCTGCCCGAAGCCAGGGCGGGCGTGTCCGCTCCCCGTGGCCGCGGACGGCACCGAGATCGCCCGCCGCCCGAACAGGTGCTCCGGGTCCCTGCGGCGCGCCGCTGCCAAGGCCCAGGAATGCGGCGGCCTGGAGCTCCTGGGCGCCTGCGCCCCCAGGGGCACGCCGTGGCACTACCCGTGCGCCGACGCCAAGCGACGCAGCTTCATCGGGTACCTGCCGGACGCCATTGACGAGCCGGGCGCCAAGGCTATGCTCCGGCGGGTGATGGACGGCATGGACGCGCTCGGCTGGGAGAAGCCGGTCGGCATGGGCGCCATGTCCAGGGGCACGAAGTGGATGGTGGCCGCGGGCTGCCAGTGCCCCTACCGCTACGGCGGGGTCACGGTGGACGCCGTCAGGTTCCCCGCGTGGATGCAGGAAGTGATGAAGGTGATCATGCCTCGCTGTGGGCTGGTGTCGCCATCT